CGCAGGGTACTTACTTCAAATCGTTGCAAAGCCACTTCTAGACCTCACGCTTCAGAGCCCTCGACGCTGCGCGTCTCGGCTTCTAATTTGCGCTCGGTCTAGAATGCTTGGCTCTGCAACCTCGGCTAATAATATACTATATCCCCACTACCCGTCGCATCCGCCTTACTCGTTTCTCGCTTTCCAATTGACCCTTTTCCTGTAAGCAAAGTGAGTAGACATTATATAAATTCCAATGGTACAGAGTGAGACAACATCGCGCAGGCGAAGTCAGATTTTTGGAGCGCCAAGTTAAAATTAACCAATGAACGACAGATTACGCACGTGTAGCCGGTTGCATTCTGTCAAAGCGGTTTCTTGTCATAGGCCTTTGCTCTGCTGCCGGAGTGCCGGATACTATTTCCAACGTGGTTTTGAAGATGCGTGCGCACGGAAAGTCACTATGGAAGTTTTACGATCTTACAGGAAAAGGGTCAATTGTGCATTATTTTTGAGAATTGCATTTTGATATTTTTGATCCAATGAGAACACTGAATTTTGATCACGTGATACTGAATTATTTGGTAATCTTGAGGTTCTGGTTGCTTTTTGACATCGAAAATTGTACGACACAAATCTGTACCTGAGAGCGCAAAGTGCATAACTCCATTTTTACATAAAATTGGATAAACGGGTATTTTTTTCTTCTATTTAGAATAAGCTAATAATTTGTTTGGTATGTAAAACGAGCCACAAATAATTGCTCTCACTGAAAACTGACAATTTGGAGTTACGCACTTTGCGCTCGCAGGTACAGAAATACAGGCCAATAAAAGAATAGAATTTAAGATTGTTACCGTACAAACCAAAAAATTTCTTAGACATTTTTCTCGCCTTACTAACCTAACAGAAATTAATAAGTAGAATTTTTTTGACATAATCACAATTTGGATAAAATTTAAATAAAATTATTGTAGTTACTAAGATTATTATATTTTGGGTCTAGATTGGTTAGGATTTTCTTACCCAATACGCCCTCGTGTATTGATTAATATCCTGAAATTTTATTCTCATGCATTTCAAGGGCTAATTACGTTTTTGAAATGCATTCGAAAAAATTTCCGGAAATAATCAATGCACTAGGGATATTATAAGTGATAACACGCTTGTCGATCTGGTACTGTGGTTCGTTATTTTAACTTTCTTCGTGTCTATACCTATTTCTTCTGCAGCACACCTCGTCCACTTATTAATTTCGTTACGTCCTATGGGTGTATTTTTGTACCAAGCAGAGGAACTGAATTTTTTCCAGTATGGATTCACAGTCTCTCACAGGTTATATTCGAGGTTCTCTTTGACAACAGTAAAGTTAGAACACGTACGGGACACATACGAAGATCAGCATTATTTGTTGTTAACTACTTGCTATCTTCCAAACGATGATTACCTCCTGTACTGTTTTACTAAAAATCGAATTGTACTCAATAGGTCCTGTTCTTTTTCCATTGTTGTCTGTCTCATATTTAAAATGTTTAATTAAACAATTCGTTGCCTCTCCACCTCGCCATGCTAATTCATAAGAGGCTAAGAAAAAGAATTTTTTTTTACAATCCATCGGGATTTTCTTCTAAATACAAATTTTTGATTTTCCTTCATTCTTCTTCTGTTAGCGCTACTGAAGTAACTTTCCTTTTATCAGCTTGTGCCCGCAGTTCTTCACGTTTGGCGTCTCGAGCATTTCGGGCTTTTTTGAAACATAAATCATTAAATGGATTTAATAGAAATTTGATATTCGTTGAAAAACTTTTCCTGGACAAGTTTTGCTGTCACATTTCACATCGTTTACACACAGCTTTCTTTGAAGTCTGATCCATCGACTTTCTTCATGTTATATGCATAATCCATTAAGATATTGCTGATTTCTTCAGGTGTAGTACTTGCTTGCAAAATATAATTCCGTTCAGAGCAAAAGTTTTCAAACTGACTCCACACTGATTTTCTTGTATTCTGCGGAACACTGCTTACAATACTATCCCCAATATCTGATAAAGATTTATCACTAAATCGCTGCTCTGTGTCTTTCGCAAGTTAACCATAAACGTTTAGACTTATTCTACAAAACTGATATATGTATTGTGCAACCCACTGGAAAAAAAAAACATTTGAGAAAATAACAAGCATGTATATTAAAAACTGCAATATATGTATGTTCGTGCTGAATCTTCAGGTATTAATTATTCAACTCTTAAGTATCCCTTATTAGACTTGTTAAATTTAATTTTAATAATAATGTTTCCTACTAGACTTACGGCCTCTAGTGGAACGTAAACAAAATAATTAAGAAAAAAATATAACACTTCGCTCTAATTAGCGTTCACCGGCATCATTATACAACATTATCGCAAATAGTTTTTTTCTTATGTTCATTTTACAGAAGTTATCATAAACTATGTCTGCACTGATATTACAAAACCTAAGAGCAGTTATTAGTGGACTGATGAAATGATAATGTGTCCGTGGAATCTAAAAAAAAAGTCATTGATGTTCGACTATTTTCTCTTGGGCAGACAAAATACAATTGTGATGATTTTTTTTTATTCGTCGTGTGCCAATAGGGCGGAGCTTAATTGCAAAATTCTTATTTTTCAATAAAAAATTAGTACCATATAAGACCCGTTTTTGAGTACCATGTTGTACATTTATTATTTATTTAATACATGTTTCACTTGGTAATTTCGCGTGGAAAATGAAGGATTTTGCAATTAAGCTCTGTCTCCAGAGTTATGACAAATTAAAAAAATCACCACGATTAAGATAGGGCGGGTTGGGCGGGGCTTTAATTTTTATTTAATATGCATACTATCCTTTGAACAACATGACACTCAAAAACATGTCTTACATGGTAGTTTCTTGTTGAAAAATAAGGATTTTGCAAATTAAGCTCCGCCCTCTTAGCTTATAACTAATAAAGAAAAATCATCCGAATTGAGATAGGGCGGGTGGGCGGGGCTTTCTTTTTCACTTAATACATATAGCTTGCTGTGCACAACACGATTACTCAAGAACATGTTTGACATAGCAATTCCTAGTAGAAAAATAAAGATTTTGCAATTAAGCTCCGCCCCACGGCTTAGGAGGATTAAAAAAAAATCATCACGATTGAGAACGGGTGGGTGGGCGGGGCTCATATTTTGCCTTTTTATTAATACACGTAGTCATCTTTTTATAGCAAGAAACGTAAAACATATTGAAAATAGTAGGTACATTTTTGTAGGGAAATATGTATTTTGCAATTATGCTCCGCCCCTCGGTCTGACAATGAATGAAAACTTTATCACTATTGAGGTCGGGGCAATTATGGGTGGGGCTTAATCTCGTGATGCATGTTTCATTTTTTGCCTGACCGATGGGCGAGACGTAACTGCAAAATCCGTATTTCCCTACAAAAATTTGCCATTTTAAACATGTTTTGACTTGTTGTTTTGGAAAGATGATTAGGTATAAAAGAAGAAAATGCCAAAATATAAGATATATATCTGATCTAAAAGCACTGGGCACCTCATTTGGCCATATACAGGGTTTTAATAAATGATTCTAAGGGAATAGTTGGCCATGGATTTCAAAAATCCCGCTTCGCTGAAATTACGCAGTTATACATATGCTTGTGGTATATGTAGCAAGGTCTTGGGCATTTAGTAAAATTAGCATAAAGTGATCCATGATCTACTAATCTACTTCTACCATATAATCATTTATTGAAACCCCTACATAAGTTTTTGTAAAAAAAAAAAAATAGAGCAGAAACTTTTCTACCAAGCCATAGTTGGTCTTCATTAATTGTATTGCATAAAATATTAGGATCACAGTGAATAGGAGGTTATAAATGAAATAATTATAAAGTGTGAATATTTACAAAATTTTATCAATACATTTTGTAACAGCACTGTAAACCTGGTGATAGGATGACCATACAGTACAGCAATATTCTAACTTGAATCTTATTAACGCATAAAACAACAACGTAATGCATTGCGTATTTTTAAATTCACTAGTATCTCTTACAATAAAACCTAGATTGTTTAAAGATGCATTTGAAATGGCTTCAATAACACCAAGATCCTTATAGTGTTTGCAATGTTCCAATGGTATGTCGTTGATGTCCTCGTTATAAATTACTCATTTTTTCGTATAAGACACTCGTTTACACTTACCTTTATTAATGTCTAATTAGGTATTACTAGAGCATCGTTCGAGAAATTTATCGACATTGTGTTGCAATTGCCAACAATCATTAAAGCAATTAAGTTACATTAATGATTTTTAAATCATCTGCATAGAAGCATAGATCAACGTTTTGCATTCTGTCTGTCTTGTAACATCATTGAAAAATATAACAAAGAACAGAGATCCAAATGTAGAACCTTGTGCAACACCATCTTTTACATCAACTTCGAAGGATTTAAAATTTAATTTAATTTAAAAGTAACTAAATAAATAGTTTCGTATTTCTCTCCATAGAAAACAACTACTCCTGATCGGTAAAATGAATTATTTAGCCATTTTTGTATGTTACCCGACTGGAGAGAAAAAAGCTCAAAAAATCTTAAATTTGAACCTATTTGGTATTATTTAAATGTGTAATGAGTAATTTAGGAAATTAAATGGAACAATAATGAATGAAAATAAAAAACACATGTGCAAACAACTGAAACAAAATTAATGATGAGCGTTGTTCCAAATTTGACAAATTTAATCCAACATATTTTTCAAAACTACTAAAATTTCCAGTAGTGGCAACAATAACGTATTAGTTACATATTTTAAAATTTTACAAAAAACTACCACAAGAAAATAGTTAGCTCTAACAGTTGCGTTTTATGGTAACTTCAGTAGCACTGATTGTTAAATGACTAATTGTCTCTTTTTGTTTCTCCCTTTTCATTTCATCAAAAAAAAATCTAAATGTAGATAATTTCTATCCAAACAACATAATTTTATAATAAACACATTTATTTAAAATGTACAAACAACTAAAATTTTAATACTACGTATAAAAAATTAACACAGTAAACCTTAAAGCTTTCTACAGTGTGACTTACAAAAATATCTATATGTACATAAAATTATTCTGGAAGCCATTCTTTGGCAGGTACAGCGCTGAGTACTTGATCCAGTACAACCCTATAAAGTTCCGTAGCGGTTTCGACGAAAATTGGATTGATTGCATCCATCACACGACGTGGGTTGTCATTGTAGAAGTTGGCAATAAGGTCCGCTAACAAAAGAGAGAGAAACTGTCAACGAAATACTTAACAAACACAAAAAAAATATGTATTTAAACAAAATTTTGCAAGTTGAATTGTTAAGAATAGATTATTAAGTAACACCATTTATGAGAAAATTCTCTTGTTTTTATTATAAATTAACGTAGACACCCAAAACCTCTTTTCAGTTGTTATTTAATTTCTTATCATTTCTATATGTTAACATGAAGAAATTTTGTAACATTAATTTTTATCTTTCAGCTGTATATAATCATTTCATAATTAGGTTATAATTAGACTTAATTGTCGTCATTATCTACATCATTATTAACCTAATTTTAGTTGTTAAATTTGTGACTGTGATTGTACTACCTTAATACCTATATACTTTATCATAATGACATAGTCACATGTATTCCAGTTTGAAAAAAAATTAATTGTAAATAAATGTTAAATAAAGTATCTTGTAAAAATATTAATAAAAATCTTACCTCCAAACTGTAGTTCAGGATTTTCTGAGATCAGTTTAACTCGTCCATCACCAACTCTAATTTTCATACTAAATTTGTCAACCCTAAAATATTTGACTCCATTTTTATCCACTGTTTTAAGATTTCCTCGGACGTACAGCTGGGTCTCAGCTGTAAAAGAAAATTTCTATTATTATCATTAATATATTACATAAAAAGACTGTTATCTCCGAACGTGAGAAGACTGTGACACATAAAAAAAAATATAATCACTCTGTTGTACTACTACATATTAATGTAACTAATAATAATTTCTAAAAATCTGCATTTGTAAAGAAACGTAAGGTTTTAGTAAGCCAGAAAACTTGTACATTACAAAATTTTATTTTATTCTTCTCTTAAAAAATTAAGAATTTCTAAATACTTTGTTGTTTTCTCTAAAGCTAGTAGCAAGTCAGGTATAACGTGTCTTAAATGGTTAAAAGCGTACACGATGCTATAAGCTATAATACAAAAATTATGTCGTTCGGTTATAATGTAAGTAACTTATTCCAAAGTTTTAAAGAGGTGTCCTTTAAATCATAGGCAGTCTTTTCGAAAGGCCTCATTTTCGATAAAAACTTATTTAAACAATGTGTAATCAAATTTTAAGTGAAGAAGAATTTTTCATAAGTTTGACGTAAAAGAATGTGACTCCATAATACCAACATTTTGTTTCGACGTTCGTCAAAATAATCGTAGTGCAACGCTTTCCCTAGGTGCGTGATGTTACACACGAGTTCAGTCTTTGTTTTTTTCTTTGATTGTAAACACGGTTCATTAAATATCATGATTATACTTACTGAAGTTTCCATTAAAGTAACCTTTACTTCTCAATGGCACAATCAGAAGTTGTCCGTTGACATCGTAATCCATTTCCAGATGAGTCCAGGGGAAAGTTAATCTCATTTCAGCGGTATAGTTGTGAGGATTCGCTCTAGAAAAACACGAACCTTTACTTCCCTTTATTTCTCTTACTTTCACCATGCCTGATTTTCACGGAAGACATATTTTTTAGAGACTTCCGGAGAATTTGAGAAAGTGAAATAAGATAAAAACCGGTTTATTGACCTGATGCATTTCATCAACTAAATTAGATGCTTTGACCATGTGTTACATGTCTGATTACATAAGTGTTGCTTAACTAAACATTTCTTACCTAATATCCTCAATTACGAAGTTACTGGCGCCAATTACTTTGACATTTTTCAGAATGGCATTAATGCTGACGAGTTCATTAATTGTCCTGTCTACAGTAACAAAAGGCAGTTCTAGAGGATCGATTGGTGGCATGTTGAATTCAGGTACACCCTTTACCAATTGGGGGATGGATTTTTCCAAATTTTTTCTGATGCATTTTTCGTATTCGGGGTCGGATTTGCGACATAATAAATTCGATACACGATCAGCTGCGAAATAATATTACATCATTGTAGAAAGTATTATTTATTATTATTATCGCATGATTAAGAGAATCTGATTGAACTTTTAATTTCATACACTTATTTTGAAATAACAAGTGGTATATTCAAAAAGATTATTACACAGCAACTGATGAATTGATGACGATTTGAGTTTATATATTATTTTAATTTTTACTCTAAATTTTAGGTGCCCGTTTTAACTAATTTAAGAATAAATAGTCAAAAAAAATTTATTCATATCAATAAATAGATCTGATGACATTATGTTTTAAAAACAAAAGCGTTACTGGTTGGAAGGAACATTAATTAATGTAGAATTATTTTAGTTTAAAACAACTGAAATACGTACGTAGTACTTTGCCCTGCACAAAATAAACGAGAGCACACAACACAACAAGATATTTCATCTTGGTATATTTTATAAAATCACTAATTCAACTCCATAGCGCCTTTATAAAAAGGAAAAGTGTTCCTCCCAACTTTTACCACCACCACACCAAGAAGTTCACTTTTACTGTTTGCAATTATTTTATGCGTGGCTTATACTCTCATCAGCTCAATAATTGTATAACATGGTTTTGAACTTTAATTATACGTGTTCTGAGGTTTCTTTTATTTATTTTTTATGTAGCTAATATAATAACAAAACAAAAGTAGGTAAAAAGCCTTATAACAACAGAATCATTATTGCAACAAGTGTTCGTTTTATTTAAAACTATATTTTTTTAAATTGGATACAATACCCAATGATTTTAGCCACACATGCATTTAAGTGCTTACTTTCCCTAAAAATAATGACATGACGTTTTACATTCGAGTAAACAGAAATTAAACGGAAATAAATAATCTTGGATTAATTATAAAGTATGTGCATTTTGTGTAATTACTAATTATTATTACCGATCATTAATAAAAGTTTCACTAAAAGAAACTTCCTAGTTTCTTATTTTGAAAATATGTAAAACTAGATAAGTGAAAATTATTAAATAAATTCACTAAAAAAATCAGAACTCAAATTTGACGAAAACCGCCAAATTTTTAAATTAAATTATTACATGTGGTTAATTTTTTTTCATTTTATATTACAGTTTTCTAAAAATATATAATTTATTACTATAAAAGGCAATTTCCTGATGTATCAACGGATTCTTAATTTATCAATATTTTTACAATTTATTATTTAATTGTAGAAAGATGTATCCATACAAAAACTATAACAATGAAAAGATAGAAACATGTTAAGTAAAAAAAATCCAATATTATTTAAATAGAACTTCCCTCGCCGCTAAAGTACAATGTAACAAATCCAGCTTCTTCGAAAATGATAAAATTTGATTTTGCGAAATTTTGTTAACTTTTTGATGGCACATATAAGTTACAAAAATATAGATAATACTAGTCACAGTTTAAAAATGGAGAAGGAGAATGAACTGGTGACCTGCACGTAATAAAATTTTATGCAAGTTTCATTGCGCTGTTTCACCTTTATGCTCGAGTGGCTCCTATACTGGTATCGAATTTTATTTATAATTCGGATTTGTTGTGCGAAATTTTGATACATTCCACAAACACTGGAATATCTTATTTTATAAAATATAAGTGGAGTTCATCAAGCTAAATTTTGGGCTGATGTCATCAAATTGTTGACGAGGATGAAATGGATCATGAAACGTCGAGAAAACATGAAACTAGTAATTCATCGCATGGAGCCTATTAGAATACTTCTTTGGTTTACGCTGAGGAAGTAAAAACAATTTTTAATTAATTATTGTGTTAATTTCTAATATTAGTTGTTTTTACATAAGTAACGAATAACAAACAAAATCGGCTCACGACATTATCTAAGGTTCTCCTCAAACGTTTATTCAATGTCAACTGGCAATGTTAGTACCGCCCGATTTATGCTCAATTATTGATTAATTTCGTAAATGATGCCAAGGTGTTTATTAGACATTTTCTGAATTCAAACCGTCACCATCATTCAAACCTACTTTGTTAACATGAAATTATATGAAGGACTAAAGGAATCGGTTTCTAAAAATATTAATATGCGTAAAAACTTAAAAAATTAACTAGAAAAAGAGACACATCCATTAATTTGTTTCTTGGATTCTTAATAACCAAAAGTTTCTGTTTGTTAATGAAAATTAGTGCTAATCAAAAATGCGACAAACAAACGCTCATAAAATATTTTGTAAGTAGATATCACAATATTACATGTTAGGTCAAATAATAACTAAAGGAACTTTTCTTTGAGTCAGTTTCAAATATTTGTAATACTTAGAATTTTACTAAGATGTTAATCTACTTGTTGTTCAGAAATGGGGAAAGATGCCTTCATATTTTGTCCTTACATTTTGGTTATTCGTCTACTTTTGCTGTTGCTTACCCTATACAAAACCATTATGCCTTCTGTCCGCTTAACCGTAACCGAAGGAAGTATTGTGATCGAGTCCGTCGGGCGACTCTCTACTTTTCCGTTTTCTCGACCTTTCATGACACTTAGAGTACGTCTGTCAGTCTGTCTGTCCGTCTGTCTGCCGTCCCGGATTTTTATTAGACAGATAATCTCCGAAAGTACTGCGCCGATTTTGTTCTTTTTTTATTTATGTTAGGAATATCATGTAGATGGTAAAAAGCTAACCAAAATTTGTTTAATCATTCCCACCAATAATGTGGTGACGTCACTTCAAAATTACACATAGTAAATGGGTTTTAAATTGTATAAAATAACATAGTTCTACACCTATAGTTTAAGAGTCCGTATTGAGTATTTACCCGAAACGTTCAGATTTTTGGAAAAAAAAAATCAAAATGAAATGCTTTGAGATCTTGCAGAAGTTTGAAAGTTATCATAAGCATGGTAATTTTTTTATCAAAATGTCCATCCCCCTGAACAAATTGATGACGGCACCTCAAAATTTTGCTGAATAAATCCTATCTTAAATGTGCAAAGTATGATGAGTCAATACTTGTGATTTATCACTACATTAATATTTTTTAGATTTGCTTATACAGAGTGTCTTAAAAAAATAATGACTGAGTCTATTTATTTTATTGTTTAAATCAGCAATTGCAAAACTGAATATTTTGAAGTGTTGCAGACATTTTCAAGTTATTGTAAGCATGGTAAATTTTTAAGTAAGATGTATCTATTTATCAACCCTAAAAAATTGATTGCGTCATCTCAAAGTTTTGAGGAATGATGAGTTTTTGCTTGTGATTCATCATTGCTTTCATATTAAGAACGACACAATTTTCCCGAAAATGTGAAAATACAAACGTCTTTATTTAACAAAAATTATAATAATGATATTCACAATATTTTGTCGATTGTACGTGGTTTACTACTTTGACCCTCTGTTTTGAAGGGTCGAACTCATACAAATCAAACTATTTTCTACGTGATATTCTTCCGATGTAAATGTATTCTTCTAAACATTTTCAAGTTGTTTTTCTTATCGATGATAAGCGAAGGACGTACAGTAATGGAGTCGATTGGGCAATTTGGTACTTTCATATTTTTTAGATATTTCATAGACGCCTTAGACAAGGCCGTAGCTAGGAGTAAGCTAGGGAGTACTGTGCCTTCCCTAGATCTAGACAAGTTATAATGAACCAAATGTGAATTACAACATCGAACATCAAAATAAAATGTAGTGTTTTATTCAATAAGCGCAAGCAGATCAATAAAAAAGTTTGGACCGTCGGCATTGCGATCCGATTATTGCAATTCGAAGAAAACATCTTTCAGTTTAGTTTCTATTTTACTCTCACATCTACAGGTTGATAAGTGTTATCGCTATTTGCAGTGGCGGCTGGTGACCTTTTGAAATGGGGGGACACAATTTGATTGATGAGTTAAATATGAAGATATAAAACAGGTTGTCATTACCAATTAATAGACGAAATTGTGTGACGGAAATAAATACAAAAATACATTGTTCAATAAAAATAAAAAAGAATTTCTCCACATACCTTTTTGCCTTCGGTGTTCATGGCATCTAAAAGTTCATTTTGGACAGTTTTAGGCGTTCCTTTAAAAACCGTTGCTTCTTTCAAATGATCTGATAAAGTCGAATTCAGCCATAAAATCAATCAGATCTCGAAATATATTTGGATTTTGTGATACCCTACTTTCGTCATGTCCACGTAAAGCAAATTCAAACACTCCACAAAATTTTATGCATATTATCAATCGGCGTAATATATGGCGATTTTTGTCGACCCTTGCGTTATGTGCCCGAATATTATTAATATAAGCGGTGTGTAGTTGTTTCCGAATGTCTGTATTACCGAGAAGATTATCCAAGAATATTTATCACACGTGTTCGCGCAGAAGGAAAATTAAAACCCGCGATAGTAACTCAATCTTCCAGAGCACGATCGCAACAGGCTCACAAGCCAGTTGTATCAAGCGCATATCAGGCGGCTACGACGTGTAGTTTCCATGGCAACGGTGTAAACAAAACATCTAAATCAGTCATGATTCGGTCCATTCGGTCTCTGTGCCGGGCTTTTATCAGCATTTCATCAGAAATAACATGTCATATATCCAAGACACATCTTTAGATGCAAGTGGAAGTAAGTTTTGATACATTTTAGACAAGTAGAGCGAGATAAAAAATTAGTTTTGATAATTATGATACAAATTTCCGGCTAATTTTTTAAATATTGAAAATTACTATTTTGCTATGTCCAATGTGTTTGTAGACGTTGTAATTTTGGGGGGGCACGTGCTCTTGTGCCCCCCGGCACCAGCCGCCCCTGGCTATTTGTCTTAATTATGAGTACCATAAATGATTTTCAGTTCAGTCTTCAGTCACCTTGCAAAATTTTGGAAGAGAAAGACTCACTTGTAAAAAACGGTTAACAAGTCTCTTTACCTTTAATTAAATTAGATACATGTTTTTATTTTCGCTTATAATGGGCGCCATAAAAATCAATAAAATTCGCAAAATCAATAATTTTTTTTCTTATTTAGCTGTTCCTGAGGCTGTTACCTAATTGTTTCAACATTTGGACCTAAAAAGTTCTCACCTAATTTTTCGAAATGAGATTACAGGATTTTATTTTAATGGTAAGTTCAATGCCTGGTATTTTTCATTGTTAGGATGAGCATATTCTAAATTTGGGTTGTTACACTTTTTATAAAATCTATTAATATTTAGTTGTTTTATCATTTCAAATTTATAAAAGTTTATAAAATCAGCTACTAGATAACAAAACCACTATTTCAAAATGTTCATATACCAATCTACAATAAAAGTAATTTTATATATAGCCGTACTTCCGATAGAACTTTACTTTACCCTATTATTATTATAAAAATGGAACTATGTTGAAAACAGTAACAAAATCCTAAAACAATTCAAAAAATTTCCAGAAAACACATTCTAAATCATTGTTATCGGTACATCTGTTATTATTAATTATAAATAGTACAAAAAGATGACCTCGTAATCCTTGATCTTTCTTGTCTGTATTCCAGTTTTTGAATAGTTAATTCTGTGGTTTACCTTAAACCATTTAAGTGTGGGTATTTATACTTAAGTCTTGTAAATTGGAGGTCAAATTCTGATAATGTTACGTAAGTAAGTATCCATATGCTGACATCTCGTGCAAATACTTAAAAAAAAAATCCTGCACGTGTCGATAAAACTGAGAACATTAACCTGAAGCTGCAGCAACAAATTAATACTGCTATGTATTAAGTAGCCATGGGAACATCTTTGACATGTTACGAACGATCGAGAACATTCTGATTTAGAGTTGGCTTAGATTAGGATTTGAAACAGAGGGTGTCACTTTTGAAACATGTACGTGTTTCAATACATGTGGTTTATCATTGCACTCATAGTTTTTTAATTAAATCAAGAACGACTCACTTCATTTTTTCGAAAATTAATAAATTCCATTCCCTCTTTTAAATATGTTTTAAGTTTCTTGTTGTGAAAAGAAGATTACATATGTATACTAAGAAAACAAGGAAAAAGTAGAAGCCCCACCCGACTACCCTAGCGGGCGGAGCTTAATTGCAAAATCTTTGTTTCTCTACAAAAAATTACCGTATGAAACATCTTTTGTTATTGTTGATATAGTAGAAGAGAAAAGGTTACACAGTCTCCTTTTTCTCAAAATGATATATCTTGAACAATATGGCATTGATAATACTTAAAACATGTTTTGGTAAAAAATTCGATTTACTTTTTTTCTGTATATATACAGGTTTCTTTCAACACCATACCTACTTCAAAACATGTTATAGACGATGAGTTCTTGTAGAGAAATCAGGATTTTGCAATTAAACTCCGCCCCCGGGCTCATAAGGAATAACATCATTACAACTGAGAAGGCAGTGGGTAAGCGAGGCTTAAATTTTGCCTTTTGTCTAGATACACATACATATGATGATCTTTTTACGCCAAGATATTTAAAATGGTTAGAATGGTAAATTTTTGTTTTGGGAAACATCGATTTTAAAATTAAGCTCCGCCCTTCGGTCTGATAACGAATGAAAAATTCATCACATTTGAGATTCGGGTGGGTGGGTGGGGCTTAATTTTTTACTTCTTTTTTCTTGACATATATAGTTTTCTTTCAATAACATGATACTTAAAAACATGTTTCACATGGTAGTTTCTTGTAGAAAAATAAGGATTTTGCAATTAAGCTCCGCCTCTCGGCTCACGACGAATAAAAACAGCTATCACAATTGAGAAAGAGACGGGTGGACGACGTTTGTATTATGCTTTCTTTTTTTAATATGTGTACATAGTTTTCATTTCACGACAATAAATTGAAAACATGTTTAAAAGGGTAAATTTCTAGAGAAGTGTGGAGGATAAAATTTACCATTTTAAACATGGAGGAAGATTATTATTATGTGTGAGTTGAATAAATAACGTAGGCACTATATAGGAATATATAACTCACACTGTTCAAAAAATGGGAACTTATTGAATAGTTTGTTGTGTGTAATTCGTCTAGATCTAAACCACTGCACACTGCAACCAAAAATAGAAAGACAGGAAGAAATAATTTTTCAAACATTCCTCAATATAAAAGTTGATTTACATTAACATTTAGAAAAATATGTGTTAGTGTATGAGTAATAATTATATACAATTTAATTTTGCGAATTTTCTTTTTCTTTTTAATGATAACCCACCCCGGTAAGTTAAAATAAAGCTATGCATGGACTGTCAAACCACCGATAAATCGTATTATGTGTCTAAAGAACAAAACGGATTAAACAATAAAAAAATATTAATAGTAAACTTCAAGGTGAATCCATACACCATAAGTACAGGAATATGTATATTTTTTCCTAAATTTAGATAACCTTAACTACTCAATATATGTATGAACGGACGTGATCAAATTGTTGGTGGGGATGATTAGACGAATTTTAGTTGGGATTTTACTATCTACACGATACGTACTCCTAAAACATATATAACATTTGACGACAGTCGGTCTAGTAGTTTTGTTATCTGTCTATTAAAAATGGACACAGACGACAGAGAGGCGAAAACAGAAGACCATTTTTTTCGTACTCTAGAAGTCATCAAGCTTTGAGGAAAGAAGCCTGTCACCTGATGAACTCTACCTCCTTGCAGTTAATTATTTTATAATAGGAGTAATTATTATTGGAAAATATTTATTCCAGAGAAGAAAAAGTTTTATCAACCAACCGTACAACCAGACAATCAAGTACAACAAAAATCCGGAAGTAGGTAAGCTTGGTAGAAAAATAATGTGTTCTACTGAGTTTAATCAAGAAAATGTTAAATGCTTGGAACGTCCTCTTGAGCGAATATTATTGAATGCAAAACATTTGCCATGGATTAAAATAGGACATTTTTGCAATTAATTAATATGTTCGAAGCAAAACTTTACAATGTTGAATGCTTATGGTCTAAGTTATCCGTTGACTAAACTAAAGACAGTATGAGCTTCACTGTTTTTAATATGAGAAATATAAGGCAATAATTTTAGATAATTAGCATATTCTCGTTTTTGTTAAATTTCATAAGAATCTAAAGTTTTCTCCTTTACCGTAATTAATTGTCTAAGTAGTAATAATACACTATTTTTATTAGTGAAAAATAAAGACGTGTATTGTGGATAATAAACAAAAATACCTGAAAAAATACGGTCCGTACAGTACCTACTGTTTGATGGATGAAGAAAGTGTGGTAAGAAATCAAATATTTAATGTAAATAATAAACTGTATTAGTAAAGTTAATACTGCACTTAATTTGAAAAAACATTGGTATTTATTGTAGCTGCTAACAACTACTTTAAATGACTAAAATATTTTACAAATAATACAAATACTACATACTAATTTTGTCACAATAATTTCATAATTATCTTCACACCAAAATTCAAGGAAATAATTCCTTGTAAGTAAACTGTAAAGTAATTTTATTAGCAATATCTGTAAATTTTTCAGCTAACGAATTTTCTAAAAGAGGTTTAATTTCATTAATAAACAAGTCTGTGTTGTCGTTAATAACTTCATTTGTAGCTTTGCCAATAACTGGATCATCTCGAAACAAATTTCCCAGCGTTATTTTTGATTCTCCTATTCGCAATCTCAATCGCATTTTATCAAATTTCAGGTAGTCTTCACCATCTTTCTTGATTTTATTCCCTTTTAATATGCAGTCGAAGTAGTAATTAGCTAAAAACATCCCAGTTAGTACGAAGGATTAGTAGATATTTGTAGAACATACTGAAGTTTCCAACGATTGGTCCAACTCCTTTATATGCCAAAACTAAGATTTTCATATCTATATCGTAATCACCTTCAAAATGCAACGAAGGTATTCGTACTTTAAATGCAAACTTAGCTTTAGATGGATTTGGCCTGAAAGATTCATTTAGAATAACATTACTCGGAAGAAATAACTTACTTCAATTCCAAAATTTCAAAAGAAGTAGGTCCCCACACTTTAATATTTGTTATGTTCGCGTCAATTTTTGCAGAGTTTGGGCCACTCCGAAGTTTAACAACATCCAATAGGAGGGGTTCCATTGGTGGCACATTCAGCTCTGGTATACCTTCTTTCAACTTCGGTCTTAGAAGATTGACTGAATTTATAATGCAGTTAGCCAGATCAGCGTCTGTTGATTTGCACACTTTTATGTAAGGGGCTGAAAACGTCACAAAATTAATAAAACAATCCATTCCCAAAACCAAATCTACTGAATTACTTTTATATGATGACAAAAAGTTTATATTGAGACCAAAGTAACGAAAATGTTATCCTATGTCAAATAAATAGTTCATATTTGAGGAAACACAGGAAGAGTAACAACGTGCTCAACTAAATCCAGCCAACTCATAGGATATTATACATATTATGTACGCCAACGTGCCTTCATTAACCGCTTAATTAATATATTCAACTGGTATAAATAGGTAGGTACAAAGACAAAGTACTTCCCAAACTTTTATGATGATGGATATCCAATTTAGGAAAAACCTGCGGTTTGTTTTATTTAAAATTAGAGAGGTTGTGAAAGAATTTCAGCAGTACGTGAATGTATTCTTAGACTTGATTTACCTTATTACATAGATGTAGATTATGGAATATTGTCTGCGTATACTACCTTGCATATGCCAAGGATCTACTGTAATAAATGGCTATTACTGACACCTTTTAATAATGTACAAGTGGGCGCCCCTTGGTATTTTATTAATACTACTGGCTATACCAAAAAAATCAACACCAAAGTTGTGCAACTTTTGATCTACATACCTATAAGTATTGTTATTTAAAAAAATTACTAAAATTATTTTCAGCTCCAGAAAGTGATCTGTTTATAAAGGGCAAGATATAATATAGTTTTTTAAATGACACTGTGTATTCAAATTATTTGTCTTCTAATTGGCCCGTTTTTACATTTTATAAGCATATTTTGGTTTTAAAATCCAGATTTCGGTGTTACCAAGTGTATTCCCTTTTTTTTTTTAACTTTTTACAATGCAAAATTTTAGAAAAAAAGCACAGGGTCATAACTTTAAAACATATTTTGCATTTTTTTTTATCCATAGGAAAAAACTGTATTGCAGTAACACTGAATTTGAGATTACAATATGTGTATGAAAATCATAAACACTATAATTTTTCGAAATATTTATTTTTTACTTCCTGAGCGTAAGCTACTTCTTTCATACATTTTTTAATAGAACATCCTGTCCTGTAGTACCACATCTTAACTCTGTTTCTTTCCATATTTTGTATCTCTCACGAGGTTAATCAATGTTAAATTAATGTGACAGACAAAAAAAAATTAGTAAAGTTGTTTAGACATAACTGTTCTAGCCCCTGAAGTACAATACAACATAACCAACTTAATTACAAAATTTGTTTTTTCGAATTTTATTTTTTTTGTGATACCCCTGTAAAACAAAATAAAGATATATGTGTATTGTTAAAGTAAAGGTAAAGGTAAAGAAGCATACGACGACTGAACGACCGCTACAACATGAAATTCGTGTAGATGTTTTCGTTCTTATTGAGGTATAGAATTATTAAAAAACCGCTGCCTGCAGCGGAAATAAATCCTAATGTAAAATAAAGACATGAAAAGATCAGTTTAAAAATTGATCCTAAGTAACATTGAAAATACAATCAAGTTTTAATTTTTTAAGAAGACAAGTAACTTTTATTGAAAAAAAAAATTATAATGTCAGTATGATAAAATTTAAATCAACTTATATAAGAAAATTTTAAAGTAAATCTAGTTTAGAAAGTTCATTTCGACAATAGCCGTAACTACGAGTGAATATATTTCCGTGTGACCTGATTAATAAATTGTTAAACAAAAAAAATCACTCTGTGACAATAAACTTATTATAACCATTGTTTTAAATATTGTTTAATTTTTTTTTTCTTATGTAGAGTTAAATAAGTTAATTTTTGTACTTTTATAGTTGTATTTTTTTTGTATAATCTTTTATAAATTGTCAATAATAATAAATCACTCTGTTCTAAAATTGTGCTTGTACCACACGATGGAAAAAACTATCTAGCAGGCCGTGCAATTTATTACTTCCCGAGTGTAAGCAAAGGAAGTATTGTAATCGAGTACGGCAGCCAACTCTCTACTTTTACATTTTCTCGATGTTTCATGACCCCTAGAAGACGAAGAAATGGGTCTCCCGTTTCCGTCTGTCTGTCCGTCTGTCCGTCTGTCTTAGAAAGTACTGGACCGATTGTTGTGAAATTTTCTATTTATATTAAGAATATCATGTAGATGGTAAAACGCTAACCAAAATTTTTCTAATCATTCCCACCAATAACGTGATCACGTCACTTCAAAATTGTACATAGTAAATGGATTTTAAATAGCATAAAATAACATTTAATTTGGAATCTGCAAAACCGAATGCTTTGAAATCTTGCAAATGATTTACAGTTATGATAAGCATGATAAATTTTATTCAAAATATATGTATTTACTTGTCCCCTCCAGAAAATTGATAACGTCACCTCAAAAGTTTGTCTAATAAATCCTATCTAAAATGTATAAAGTATGATGAGACAATACTTGTGATTTATCATTCTATTCATATTTTTTGGATTTGCATATACAGGGTGACTCAAGAAAATTAATGAATGCGTGAATTTATTTATTTAATCAGAAATTAAAAAACCGAAAGCTTTGAAATCTTGGAGATGTTTTACAGTTATTCATAAGCACGGTAAATTTTCAATCAAAATGTATCGCTCATCCCCCCTAAAAAATTGATGACATCATCCCAAAATTTTGCTGAATAAATCCTATCTTAAATGTATAAGATATGATGAGTCTCTTCTTGTGATTTATCATTCCATTAATATTTTTTGGATTTGCATATACAGGGTGACTCAAAAAAATTAATGAATGTGTAAATGTATTTTATTGATTTAATTAGGAACCACAGAACCGAATGTTTTGAAATCTTGCCAGATGTTTTAAGGTTATAAAGAGCATAATAAATCCTATCTAAAATGTGCAAAATATGATGAATCTGTACTTGTTATTTATCATTGCATTCATATTTTTTTGATTTACATATACAGGGTGACTCAAAAAAATGAATGTGTAAATTTATTTTATTGATTTACTCAAGAACTACAGAACCGAGTGCTATGAAATCTACTGCAAAAAAAAAACATATTAGGCATGCAGTCGTCACGTTTCCGACAGCGAGGGCCTACTGTCTAAACTCTTTAGACCAATTTTTTTTTTAAATAATGATGTTGGCAACACCAGCTCTTTCCTTTGACAGCTACGGTTAAATATCTATCAAATAAAGGGTCAAATAACCTCAATATCAACACCATTATTTTAAAAACGATTTGCACGGCCTAGCAGAGGAGTTTTTTTCTCAGTCGTGCTCGGTAATACAAACTTGGGGTAATCACTTTATCGTTTGTAAATTTATTAAAAAACAAAAATGTGGTTGAGCTTAACATTTGAAAATACTAAGCTAAATTTTTACTCTGTTTGTTTTTGATTCGATTCAGAAATTGTGTCAGTTCTGTAGAGTTGCGTACCTTTTCAGGAAGGCACCTTGTTATTTTCGCGATTTATATTTTTAAGTCTTTTTTAGGTAGACATAATCTTGGAAATCTTGGAATGTAAAAAAATTTCAATATTGGGCTTGCTCCAACAAACAACAAGTTTATCTCCTACTATTACAGCTGGATGAAACATTTTAATCTTTAATATTATTCTGTCCCAAATTACATATTATGGGCATATTTTGATGAAAACTTTCGCTGCATATTATTGTAATTTTTTACATAACTATAAGGCATTTCATTTATTTAAACAAATAAGATTGTCGTTTATGAAAGGGTTTGGTAGTGATAAACCTCTCGAAAAGTTTTATGGAGTAAATTTTTTGGACAGCAATAAGATAAAAGTTGTTGAGGTGTTTGTTATCTTCATATATGCCGCCCAAAACCGTCGATCAAATTCAAATCTAAACCTTAAGCGTTTGTGCAATATATACAATACCGACAGATTTCATTATAAAATAGAAAACAGCTAAGAAAAGCCGAAAATACATATATACTTTGGAAAACGTTGTGTGTGTCAAAGAAAATACAAAAACATTAAGGTAAGCAGGATACCAACAAGCATATTTAAATTTGACATTTAAAAATTAATTGAGATGAAGCTAATCAAGCATTTAATGTGGCCTTTAGCGACATCTGATTGACGTAGAGTCGGTCACATCGTACTTTAATGCTGTATTAAAAATTTAATCGCAATCAGATATTTAATTGAGCTTCTGTAAACCGGGTCTAAGTAAGTATATTTTTACAAATTTTCAGTACACAATAAAATAAGTTCTTTAATTAAAAATTGGGCAAATCAAAACCAAGGATCGCTTTCTCTAAGCAGGTGTGCAAATTTCTTAAAAACTATTAGTTAAAAGATCCTGTAAAAGAAATATAAATATACTCAAAAAAAGGGTGTTGAATCAAACTAAATTTATTTAGTTTTAAGGCATAAACAGAAAAATGTGTAGATTGTATATATAAAGTATTGATAATTCCGCACAGAATTCGTTAATTCACGTTTTCTTAAAAAAACCCTCGAACAGGTCAATTTTATTTTTACAATTACACTTTTTGAACGAGAATTCCAGCGATATTGCCCATCTTTATTCAAATTTAATCCTTGAGACCCAAAAACTCTTTCACTTCCACGTTAAAACACAGAAGTTCCTAATCTTGTTGAAAACAAATTTTTTGGTTGGACGCAGTTTAGCTGCAGCTGTTAACATTTCCAAAAAAAAAAAGATAGGGCCTACCGCATTAATTGACGACTACTAACAGAATACTAAATCGCCATAATTGTAATACTATTATGGCGATTTAGTATTCTGTTTAAAGTAAAGGTAGCCTAATCAGGAAAAAGAATATTATATATATTATTTAGGATATTGAGTGTTCCATCAACTCTTACCCAAACGTCAATTCACGGAATTATGAATTTTGTGCGGAACGCTGTACCTAAGCACATAAGCTTTGTTTAATTTGATGCATTTTTTTTTAAGTTAAGAACCCAGTAATTATTCTTTGGGACCTTCGACCGAGCACATTTTGAATAAGCGTTCATAACAGTATATTTATGTATGCAGAACACAAGTTTCGCAAAGTTAGCCTGTGGATCAGCAAATAAAATGCATCCACACGAAGGTTAAGTATTTGTATGCGGGAAATGTGCAAAACGTACTTGAACGATGAACATCGACTCTCGAGATATTATTGTCACTCATTTTCACGTAAATGATTTTCTAGACATTAAAAACCTATTAGTGAAACAGTATCAAAACAAATTTGTTAAAATTCAAAACTGTATTTTAAAACACGATTAGTGTAAGAAAAATAACTTACCTTCGTTTGATTTCATACGAAAAACAAAATAAAAATATATAATTAAAAATATATAACCATATAAACACACCGTGAAAAACATATTATGCTGCAACATTTTGCTGTCTTTGTTTTAAGTGACAACTAAAGTGGTTAATAAATAATTACAAATTCACTACAACCTTGAGTAGCTTATTATGACTTTTAATTTTATTCTCACTTTTATTGAAGAAAATTAGTTTTTATAACTTACGGAAGTATGGAATGTTGAAAAATACAAAACACTTACGTTGACATACGCACTTCTTACTTATTATGTTTGTCACAACTTTTTATGAATTTGTGAAGTTATCTTGCAGATATCATTGTATGGAGGTGCATAATTTATTAAATTTTTATGAATAAAATATAAGATTGTAAAAAATCCACAATATATGTATCATATTACAGAGATTAAAGGAAACCTTTTTGTCGCCTTTGATTTGTTATAGTAAAAAAATTATGGCATTTAAAAACAATTGGTTTTAATATTTTTAGAAAAATATCAGAAAAACCCAGTGTATATGTATAATAAACAACGGGCGGAATTGTGTTTCACACGCTAGATCCAGTGCTGTCGCGGCGATAGTTTGATTACAAATATATTTTTCTTTTGGACTATATCACCATAATATAACATTTCAAGATCACAAATCTGTGGTCCTGTGTTTGAAAAATTAAAAAGGGCATCAAGTATTATTTTTTGAAGTAATATAGTAATATATAAGTAGTTTTTTAACAAGCTGTAAACACTCCTAGGGACGCACTGGCTACGACCTTGTGGACCAGATCAAAGCGTCCCCGCTACTCGCCGTAAAACACACCTTGCTTCAACTGGGGAATTGCACCCGAAAAGATAAATTTCCGCCTACTGATAATAAACGAGGACGGCGCGGAATTTAAAGAATAGTGCTAACAACTCTACCCTGGGAAAACTTGATCGATTAGAAGACCACAAACAGCCTCGGAAACTGGTCAGGACTAGTCAAGAGCATGGTAAACGACCATCGCACCGTAAAAAAGATAATGATTTTAAACTATTCTCAAGGAATATTTGAACACTATACCGGGCAGAAACAATTAACATGTTACAACATTCCGTTACCCTATATGAACCACATATCATAGCCCTAAAAGAAATACGCTGGGCTGGATAATGGAATAATGCAGAGACCTAATAATATTCTACTGCGGCCATAGAAAGGAACACATAAGTAGATTTCCAGTCAATGGTAATGTAAAACACTTGGTAACTCATCGACAAATGACACACCACATTCCGACAGAAGACATCATAACCAGACTTCGGCATCGGGGAAGTGATGCCCATTGTCGTCCGATCGCCAGTGCTATTGTAGTCGTGGCCTACAACTTCGGGAATTCTTCATAACAATGACTACTTTTTCTAGGTTTTCCTCAGTTATACGCGTTCTCCTAGATGTTACAATGCTTTCAAAATTAAAAATGACTCTTCAACATCACAATTTTCGTGATCTAAACCCTGAATTGCATCAAACGCCACTAAGGTTGAGACTTCACAGAGGGCCGTCGTTTTTAATATTTGTCTGATTGATTTCCAATTCGGCTGTGCCTAACTCTGATCATAACAAACAAATATGGACCTCCCTAGACGGTTCCACAGTCCACACAGAACCAAATTGACTAGTGGATGCGAGCTGAGGAACGTCAGCTCATAAACTAAAATAAAAACCAGAATAACTAATGCGAGAAAACGGAAATGTGTAACTGGAAAAAACTTTTACTTCTTTATATGCAAGTATATCCCACTGTTGCAGCAAAAAATATATTGGGATATAAAACACAAAAAAAGAAATAGGACCTGGATTAATAGACCCTATAGATGTGAACGCTAATAAAAAATACCACCAGTTAAGAAAAAAAGACTACAGACAGACGGAACCGGGTGGCCTATTTTTTCGTGCTCTAGACGTCAGAGGTCTACAGTGGAGATGCGCTCTAGCATCAATTGATTTTAAACTTTATAAATTGGATATGGACAGATGAACACCTCCTGGCAGAATTGGGTATCGTGTGATATATCCCAGTTATAAAACGGAAAATATAGTCCTCTATAAAAATTATCGAGGTATTGCGCTTGGACATATTAGAGACAAATTTTGATTGATCACGCACAGCATGAAACATTTTCAAGATTTCAGAGCAATAGGTTTTGTTTCTTCTAAAACACATTTTTCTTCAAATTTTATCAAGTTTAGTAAACGAAACTTCACCATCATCTATTTTTAAATATGCATAATTTTTAACATCTGATTAATAAAATAACTGTTAATGAAATTTATCAAACCTCATAAACCTAATTGTATAAAATACTCTCATATATGTCATATTTGTCAAAGTGAGTAAATAATGCTAAAAGTATTGTCATATGATTATAACAATGAACATGCAAATTGCTTGTACTTTGGATTCTAATGACGAATAATTTTTGGAAAAAATCTCGCGCTTATTTTTTCATTAATATTAATAGCTCTGCTGTTCAAAGATATTTAACTAGAAAACCACAATTAATGAATAACACGTATTATTTAACGTTATCTGCATAAACTCACTGTGCCTAATAAAATAGATTCTAATTTTATTAACTAAAGCATAAATTTTTAAAACTATGATTATAGAAATCTTGTCCACGTTGACCAAAAAGAATATAGGATGATTTTTATTTACATTAAATAATTTCTAACTGGAATATATTTGGGTTACCACTTTCACTCATACAACTAGTTTCCAGCTGATCTTTAAGAATTGCAACAGGAATTCCATATGCAGAAAGTAACTGAAATTAACAAAATATTAATGTTTGCATAGTTAATGACTCGGTAGATTCAAAGTTAGACAAACTTTACATAATTTTAATATGTAGCCAATTTTAATAACAACATTTCATATTAACGAAATTTTACAGGCATCATACGCTTTAAAAATCACCTACATGCATCTGTTATTGCAAAACTCTAATAGTTTAACACCCCGTACACGTAGTTACACAAACGTGGCAGCAATGTAGATTATGTTGATTTAAATATCAATAAATACTTTGGTATATTTACTTTTAATATTAATTAACATAGTGACGCAACAGATGCAGTAAATAATACAAAAATAAACTTACGCAAAGCTGCCGATGTGAAGCAAATTAGACCCATCACACAACACAAAATAGTTTTCTGTGACATGATTTCTGTTATAAAATAAATGTTTTCGTCGAAAAAACTAAAATCGTCTTCGAAGGTGTCAAATAGCATACAAACTTGTCTCTTCAAAAGTAAAAAGTTTTATAGGGGAAGTAAAGTCCTTGGACTGGAAAAAGCTGTTGCGACAATAATTTCAGAATGGATCGATGAAATTAATAAAACTGTTACCATAAAGGAAGTGTCTTTATCGAACACCGAATACCGAATGGTTATTTGTTTGCATTAATCGTTGTATGTGCCTTGAATAAAGAAGGTGGGGATTTTTTATAATTATACATATGACAATTAAGAGTAAATAATTTTTTCCTGAAAAACTTAATGTACTTTTAATGCATAATTAAAAACAAATAGAAACCGGAATATGTAAAGAACAGGATACACAGGGTCGCCAAAAAGTACGGAAGCAGTTGAATATCGCGAGAACGGTTTGTTGAATCTTTTTGAATTTTAGACAATCCCTAGGAATACTCAAGTTCTATTTTCTGTATTTTTTTCAAATTTTATACTTCACTTGTTTTTGAAATGTAAAGTTAACTTGCTTTTTTTAAATAGCACTACCGGGTGTCTGGAAAATGGCGGATTAACTCTCCGCTACGCTCTTAACAATCAACTGGTAAGTCTGGGAATAATAGTAAAAAAATCCTTATCACATTTTGGTGGAGTTATAATGATTCTAAAATTGGTTCTTTTGCTACGTTTAACAACTAAACAACTCATTCATTATCACAATAACTATTAATAAAACTTTTAGTTAATATTTTTCTCGCCCATGACCATGTTTAATTACCATTTCAGTTAGAATGCACAAAGAAATGACTATGCTGTTTTTGTAATAATTTGATAAAATTCCATTTGACAATAATGTTTGCCTGATATAAAACAAAGGTGGATTTCAGCCACCATCGGTACTAAGAAACCAGAGATATGTAAAAGACAGATGCGGTTATAGCTTTCCCGATCTAGGGCCAACATCTATGATCTAAGAGTAGCAATACTTTGTGTCGCCTATCCTTTTCTATATCAGCACCAGTACTATGGATTGCCAACTGTAGGCTACATCGATCACTCTCTAAAAGGTGGTTGTCTTGTTATTGGCCCGTTCTGATGGCGGCAATTATAAATAATCATAACCACCCACAGTCTGAGTGGTCCGACAGGGACCGGCACAAACACAAGAACGGCATCAACGACAAACGTTGCGCCAACTCTGATTGGTTGCGCCGTACAGAGCGAGACCTTCAGATATCGGGTTACCATTATACGTGCTAGAGAAAAAGAGGGAGATATAAACGTACAGTGACATTTTGGCCCTAAACGTATGTCCACGAGAACATTAAATATCTGTATCTAGTCTTTTACATATCTCTGTAAGAAACCAGAAAGTAAGCTGGAAGTATTCAAGCATTAGGTGTGTGCTGTGTTGCCAATTTTACTTTTATAAAATTACGTTTTTTTCATAATCTACACCATAAAGAATTTTTTTATTATTTTTTGGGACTCCCGAAACTCCCGTATATAACGTACTGAAGAGTTAATCCGCCATTTTCCAGACACGCGGTATAGTAGTCAAATTAAAGTAAATAGTGCTTTTTTTGTTCAGAAATGTAACGCGTGCGTTATTTATTTTTTACCAATATGGTAAAATAAATTGTCAGCGTTGACAATACTGTCACCTGTCATAGTCCTGGGGTTGGACACTTTAGTCAAAAATTATACCGCGTGATTATAAAACACTCAGTGTGTTGGCAGTAATTTTTAAACCAAAAAGTAAACTTTTATCGCGTTTATGTTGCCATAACGGTAGTAATTGTGTGACAGATGTATCAATTCTACCTTCTATAAATTTAGGTTATGTTTTGGACTTTTGGAGACATTTTGCAAATTAAAACCGGAAATTATAGAAAACATACCAATTTCGATTAAAAATCCAGGATTGCCCACAAACTCAGTCATTTCTGATCACGCGATACAAGTGCCCAATGATTGTAAAAAGAATAGAACTGAGGGTACATAAACTGAAATAAAGGTGTCAACGTAAGAGATTGATATAGGTAAATGCTGTTTCCAAATAATTTACAAAATATTCTAGAAATAACAATACTCCGATTTAATGATTGTAAATAGTGAATCTATTTTTAAAAAAGCTTTTTGAAAAATTTAAATAAAAATTACGCTATTGAAAAAAGATCAAATAACTTTTAAAAAACAATAATTTTACAACAAATCTTAGAAATGTTCTCTATTTACTTCCTGACAATAGTAAATACGTTGCACAAAGTTTTCAAATGAATCTGTTATACTATTAGGAGGAATATTAGCAATCACATTTAATATTCCTTCATAGAGTTCTTCGATGCTTTGTAGTCTATTAACATACTATTTTTTACATAACCCCGCAGAAAAAAAAAGTCAAGGGAAGTTAAATCGGGTGACCTAGCTGGCCAATTTTCATTCAAGTGATGCCGTACTTTCCATCTTGTTGGAACCAGATGAACTCTGCAGGGAAATTAGGCTTTTCCTAGTTGGGAAATATTTTTCGGGGAATAATACTTTGATGCAAAAGTTGGAGGTGTATGTAGACGTTAAATTCCCGTTAATGGAGAAGGGACCTGTAATGTGGCGACCAATAATGCCACACCAAACATTATTTTTTTAGGGGCACTCTGTATGAACCTCTTCCATCCAGTGTGGATTGTAATTGGACCAGTATCTACAGTTATGGCGATTAACATGCCCATTCATCTGTCGTTATTTTACAAAATTCGATTCTGCCGTCAAATTTTGTGTAGATACTTAATATTTTTCCGGTTTCAGTATTTTTTGAACTGAGCTACTATTCATTTTTGTGGTTAAATGCGAATTACTTCAGTGAAGTTTTTGGCTTTTCAGTTACATCTAACATGATATTAAAAGAGTTCTCGTCATTTGTAACATTTTTTGGTCTTCTGGTTCTTTGACGATTTCTAACATTACCAGTTTTCTTAAATCTGCGCAATGATTTTGAAACCGTAGACCTAGAGACTTGTTCTCGATTGGGATGGGCTTCATTAAAAAGTGCTCCTACTTCAGTACAGTGTAGGTTCTATGTAACAAATGAGTACTTTGCCAGGAGTCCATTCTTGGAATAATAATACTTAATTTAGAACATTACTATAATAGTTATTTATGTACCAAGTCAGTAAAGTGATTCTTTATCGAACGAGTCTGAGATTATGAGCCGAGCGAGCGAAGCGAGCGAGGCGAGTAACAGGCGAGTTCGATAAAGATCCTTTACTGACGTGGTGCATACAAATTTTTATCGCCAACCTTAAAAATTTATAATTAAAAATAATGGAAATGTTATGACTTATCACATTTTATTATGACAGTAAACGTATAATAACAATGAGTCAAAAGATATCTACTTATTACTTGTTATATTAAATGTAAATGTACAACCTGACGGATAATAAAAATTGAGTCCTGAAGTCGAAGGAGTTTGAAGTGAAAATGTTTGAGGATTAGCCGTGCTAATAATTTCATTAGGTGAATCTTGAGTAAAATTATCATTGGTAACAAATATGTTGTCAGTTTGACTTTCACCTAAAATTGTCTCTGCGATTTTCTTTTTATTGAGCACAGATTCCTCAACATAGGACTCTGCAATCGTATCAGAACTTTTCTCGTTGGAACCGTGACAGTGACAGACAGAATGTCATACAGTCATGGTTATGTTGACAATTATGAGCGGCAGGTAAAGTGCTTGATTTTTACAGTAAAATAAAGTGTTTGTTTACTTCCGAAAATCGCTATGGTAATGCATGTCTCTATTGCCGGTTGGCGATAAAAAAAATAACAGCAATCAGTTTAATTACACTGTGTAACAAAAAAATTATTATCTTGCTTTTTTCACATTTATCGTTGTATCCTGATGTAACTTTTGACATGCTGTGGTTCGTTTGGTCGAACTGTCCCTATTTTCATTTATTTAATTTTTTTTGTAAAAGAAAAAAAAATGTATATATTTTGCGTTTAAATTCGAAAATCGTAGCCACACGCAGGGGTAAATTATCTGCAACTTCTTTTTGTTACATTTGCGGTTATTGCAAAACTGTTGACTAAGTGAAACATAAAATAGTTCCTACGACAAAGTTCTGGGTAGCATATGAAGCGTACTTTGAGAGAACTATTAAGAACCAGGATAAACCATGGGTTCATCTTGTGTACTGCGGAAGTTGCCGGTCAAGTTTGGAAGCATGGTTTCGAGGAAATCTTACCTAAGTCTGTAGCATTTACCATTTCCCGTTTTTTAAGAAAACCAAGTAACCATCTTACTGGTTGTTATATATTTTTGTACGGTAAATATATTTTATAATTTAATTAACGTAGCAGCCCTCCCAAGCCCCAGGGCTACGCGAAGGTTGATTTTTATTTTTATTTGTAAATGATTTATGCCTTTTTTCTTCTTTGTAGTATTTCCAATTAATTAAACTGCTTTCGTTTTTTTTTTTAATTAAAATTTTGACATTTTTCACTAAACAACAAATAGTTAAATATTTTTTATGTTAGGGACTCTCTGTACGAACCAAATTCACATTCTCTAAGTATAGACTAAATTACACCCAAAACCACAAAAAAAGTCAGATAAATATTATTTTTCTATAATTTTGTTACATAGTGTTATTTAATAAAAAGTAAAAAGGATGACTAACCTATATCCTACGCCTACGAATAGATAAAGAACTTAAATTAAATCTAGAAAGCAATATTGATTAATGTATATGTATACCCCTTCAGGGCTAAACACCATCTTCTAAGTAACTAATGAATTTCAGGAATTTCCTTTGAACTGACTGAAGACTTGATAAAAATGAACTTTATATAACAGTAACTTACCAGATCAGACCGCCATATACTTAGCAACAAACAATACAGAATAATAATCGTTTTTATGTTCGAAAAGCCTCTACAATTTCGACACATGGAGCCGTATGACATCAATGCATTTTTACTTCCCGAGCGTAAGCAAAGGAAGTATTGTAATCGAGTCCGTCGGCCGACTCTCTACTTTTACGTTTTCTCGATCTTTCATGACCCCTAGAAGACGAAGAAATAGGTCTCCCATTTCCGTCTGTCTGTCCGTCTGTCCGTCTGTCCGTCTGTCCGTCTGTCCGTCTGTCCGTCTGTTGTCCCGGATTTTTATTAGACAGATAATCTCCGAAAGTACTCGACCGATTG